TATATATATATATATATTGCAATTGTTCAAAATAATAGAAATCATGCTTCTTTTTCTTTGTTTTTCATATCCACTAGCCACCAAACAAGGTCTACAGAAATGAAAATATCTAAATAATGTTTCATAAAATATATGTTGTTCGGAATAAGTATTTTAGCCTTCCTTGCAACTCATTCAACTATTTTTTAATACCTATTAGTAGGGTGCCTTCATGTGCGCTTTGCTTAGGGTGGAGACACTTGACCATTTCGTCCCACACTTTTATATTTATTTTTTCTTCAGAAGTGCGTGAAACAGCGTGTCCCGGCACGCGTCTGTGGCGCTGATTGTGCTATGGCGACATCTTGTTGTCGTCGATTTATTTGTATTTTACCCGTGAGCGCGTGCTGTCGGCATCGGGTACTACAAAGGGTGGCATCACTCTAAACAGAAGGTCATTGAGGCACCCTACGTCAGCTCATCGCCGAACCTGTGGATGCGATGCCGAGCTCACCAGCATAACCGTCCTTCATAGGAACAAGAGCTCCTTCGCGCGTGAAGTGCTGGAGGCCTTGGCCATCGAAGAAAAAGGAGAAGATTACGGTCTGCCACACCCCGTTGAATACTAGGCTAAAAGGTTTTTATAAGTTTTTATTCTGCCGTTAGACGAAAAAAAAAAGAAAGAAAAAAAGGGCCAAGGCCGGGAAGAAGACAAAGTAAAATTCAGTTGATAGTCAGCGTTGTCTTCGTCCAGTTCTTTCCTTCGTGTCCTTGTTTTTTCGTGTTCAGCTGACCTGATTGCCAACAAAAGGTTCTCACCTTGGGTTGATGATCTGCAGGACCAGCGTTGAAACCGACCGACGGCTGACGGCCGTGGACGCGAGTAGCTAAACAGCGTAGGGACATAGTCCGGGTGTGCCTTGTCTAACGCCGGCTTCCCTGCAATCGAAGAGATGTGATCATCGCCGCACTTCGCATACCTGTAATAAAATGGGCGCTACATAGTCTGGACAGCTGACTCGGCTTCCAGTTCTTCGAGGGGTCGGACTTGTCAACTCTCCTGACGGCACGAATCCAGGCTGCCCGCTTAACGGGATGAAGCTTAGCACACGGGAAGCGAAAAAAGCTAGTTCCACAACCCGGGCGATAATAGTTCCGACAGCCGAGGGCTACACAGTTCACCGGCATGATTCCGGTGCACGTCGTAATCTAGAACGGGCGTCGTCAGTACGATGACTCGTGTTCACCTTGTTCGCAACATCAAAACTTGAGTCTCGATGGTCTCCAAGGCGCGCAAAGGCGAGAAAAGCAAGATGGCGGATTGTTTAGAACTAGATACTCTCGAACCCATGCGCATCAAATACTCCGCGCATGCGCACCGCGTATTTCTACAAAAGGTCCATTGTGCAGGGATTCCACAGTTCGCAACAGAGGTCAAACTTTCGAAAAAGGTTCATTGAGCTTGCCAGAAGCACTCTTCGTAGCTTGAGCGTTACATGTGACTCCTGTTTTATGTTTTGCACTCCCGTACACTGAAGGAATACTTCCTCCGGACGTCCACTTCCGCTACCGAATAAGATGACATGATCAGGTAAGGAGAAGCTCAAAGATTACTCCCCGTCGAAGAGGGGATAAAGACACAAATGGTTGTTGTTTATTTTGCCCTAGTTTCATAGTACGACAATTAGAAATAACCAACACCAATAAGCCTCAAGCAAAGGACACAATCAACCTCCGCCCCTGCCCGTTTCGATCTGGATGAGCGTCGTACCGGCGTGCGGTCGTGTATTACTACTCCGTGGAGCGCGTTAAAGACCCCAGGCAAGTGGTTGCACTGCACTGGATATATTGCTCGTCTACAGCTCAGAGACAACTCGCTGGTTGAGGCAGACTAACTTTAGGTTGTATAAACATACACACGAACACAAATGAAGCACGCACACCAAGGTACCTTTGACATGCTTGCTGTCTCACGGTGCTTTTGAAGTAAGCACGAGCGATTGTAAGCCTGCCAAAGATACATCCGCGTGCGTGATTCATTTGCTTGACGCGTGTCGGTGTTGGTTGTTTCTATTAGTCACTCTCGTTGGACTTGGGCATGAGCATAGCGATCCCGCAACTGCCCAGAGCGGCAGTACAAACGAGGGCTTGCACCATTATTTCGAAGCATGCTCTATCATCATCAACATCGTAAACTTTAATATTTGAAAAGTGAAAGAACCTGGCGGTCCCTGGTCGGTGCCCTTAGTCCAGGGCTCCGTTGGACGCCCTAATTCGGCGGGCTCGCTCAACCAGTCGCTGCCGGTCACCGAGCTTTGTGCCGGATAGGGCCGCCTCCACGGAGGAAAAAGTGAGGGAATGAAGGGGATGATTCCCTCACTGGGGGAGGGGGGGGGGGGGATTTTAAGATGGAGTGGTACACGCTGGTACAGCCTGTACCAGCAGCAGTACACCGTGGCCGCGGTAGGCAGTGGTAACGCTCTTAGGCAGTGGTAACGCTGTTGCGATTGAGAGCGTTTGGGTGTGTTTGATTGCGCTGTGACTGCGAAAAACCAGGACATCCCTGCTTTGTACGTCACGTGCCAAGATACTGTCATGGTCGTTGCCGGACAGAGAGTGAAGGGGAAAAAGAGGACGGAAGGGAAGAAAATAGAGGACGAGGGGCTCGTGAGAGAGAGCGGCACGCAGGGCTCGGGACAGTCGAAGTCGAATCGCAGACTATCCGGGACGAGCACCATCGACCTCCGTCGGGGTTCCCAGGCTCCGAGAGGCGAAACATCGGCTGAGACTTGAGCATACAGCAACGACCTCCGTCGGGGTGCCCAGACCCCGAGAGATACGATTGCGCTGCTTCCAAGCGCTCGAGGCGCCGGCCCGTACGAGGTCGACTCAGCTGCGCGGAAAGCAACCGGCGACAACAATCTGAACCTTCAAGCCCCGGACTCCGTCCGACTCGCTGACCACCCGGCTGCCCAAGTGACTGACTGCTCGACCCGAACGACTGACCGACTGCCATCCGACACTCTGACCACCCGACCACCTCGCTGACTGCCCGACTGCCTGCTCCCTCAACCAATCAACGACGTGCGCGTTCAAGTAAAACTTTTGTGCACTAATAACTCTAACGTAATTAGCACTGTACATATTCTTTTTATTCAATCTCCTTTTGTTGCCCAGTGAAAGCTTATATAACGAATCCAAATTGTCTCCGTGTGATTACTTAACACCTCTCAATCACAACTGCCGTGTACTGTGTGCGTGCCGTGTATTGTGTGCGTGTTCGCCACGCACAGCGAACCCGACCTTTGGTCCAGGCAACGACGCGCGGGCTGCTGCAACCGGAGACGCCGGCGAGGGAGAGCGAGCCCCGGTGAAGAACGTGACGCCTGCGCGAAAGAACAGACTGGGCGCGATCGCAGACTGGAAAAGACGTTGTCAACCGAATGTAATCTATCAGTTAAATAAATATATATCCTGCATTACCCTAAAATTACCGGTACACAACAATGGCGACGAGGATGGGATCTATGCAACAAAGACGGATATAAACAACTGAGCGACATCGGAACAAAGGAGACAGCGGTAACGTGAGTGATGCCCCATCTCAAACCTAAAGAATGCCTCACATCGGGAAAATTGAAGAATTCGATCAGAAATCGGAATCATGGCCTTCGTACATCGAAAGGATCGAAGTGTTCTTCTCTGCGAACGGCATTCCGGAATCAAAGCGAGCCGATGTTCTTCTCTCTATCGTTGGACGAGAAATGTACGGACTGATACGGAACTTGGCAGCACCTGCTAAACCAAGCACCAAGACGTACGTACAGATCGTTCAACTAGTGCAGAACCACATCGACCCGACGCCCAATGAAACGGTCGAACGCTATAAATTTCATCACCGGAGGCAGCTGGAATCCGAAACCATTGCAGACTACGTAGCTGCGCTCAAACAGCTTTCACTGCAATGCAACTTCGGTGTTTCCCTCAACGACCGCCTTCGAGACAAGCTCATTGACGGCATCAAGGACGGAAACATTCTCGAAAAGCTGCTGGCTGAACCGACGCTGACATTCAAGGCAGCGGTGGATCTTGCCACTTCGATGGAGGTAGCCATGAAGGATGCGAAGGAAATAAGGAGCGAGACCAAAATCCAACAAGATGTCAATCGCTTGGTGCAAGGGCGGAAAAACAAGACGTCACTTCCGAAAAAGGCCAGCGAAGAAAAAGGAAAATCTCGCACAAGCAGGACCCCATGTCATCGCTGCGGCAAAACCAATCACGACCCTGAAAACTGCTTTGCAAGGAACAAGACTTGTAAAAAAATGCGGAAGAACAGGACACTTCCAATTGGTCTGTCGCGACAGGAAACCAGATACACAAGACTCAAGAAAAAAGGACAAGCCAAATTTCACCAACCATGTCACTACACAGAGCTCGGGAGACGAATCTCCGTTTTATTTCATCGACTCAAGCTACCCGAAACCCATCACAGTGTAAGCGAGCGCCATTCTGTACTGGCTCTTTTATTTTATTTCGCCGAGCGCATTCCAAGCAGGCGCCATTGTGTTTTGCCTTTTTCTTTTATTTTGCTGGGCGCAAGGTTCAGTTCTCAGAAGATTGTGATTTATTTGAACTACTCGGCGCCGGGAATCTCGCACGTGGATGCCCGTGCCATGAAGGCGCGACTGGCTGGCGTCGGGCAGGATGCGGATCGGGTTACAGCCTTGGGCGAGACCAAGCTGCTCAAGAAAACTTCGGCAGTCTAACAGCGGGACTCAAAGCGAGAGTGTGTGTGCGATGGTGGTACGCGACCACCAATAGTGTCCGTCTTGTAAACTAAAATTGTATCGAGAATATTAAATCCAGTGTTTCTTTAATTCCAAAAACTCATTTGTCAAGACCTCGTTTATTATCAAGAAGTTATTTTATTTGAAACAACCAACGATTACATATCAGAAGTGGGATTGTCAACCAACTCCTCGGAACAAAGAGCGGACCGAAGAGTGACACAAGCAATCAAGTGCGTCAGGCATCCAAACCCGTGGACCCTGGATCGACGAGTCAAGTGCGATCAGAGTCAAGTTGGAGTGACCCACAGTGTGACAGGTGGGCGACGTGTGTGTGAGTGCCTGCGATTGGGGGCTTCCCACTGTGCGGAACTCAAGGTTCAGGTACTGTCGGATTTTTCATCTCCCTGTGGAACTCTTTATCAACAGAGTTTTCATCTTGCGTATGAGATGTAGTGTATTATGCTGTGGCTTTATATTGTTTGTGCGAGCGTGTGTGTTGGGTGTAATTACATGTATACAGCTCAACGCTTCACCATGAACCAGGAAACGTCGGGAGCGTCTCCGAGCCAGGCGGATTCGCCTGAAGTTGCTCACTTTATGGGGGACGGGTTTTCTTTGCACGAGCTCTTGGGAATGATTCGAGAAAAGGATCGTTTGTTAACGGACCTCTTGGGACGACTTGCCCTTTCGGCGCGGTCAGGCACAGCGGACGTGAGCGGCGTGCCGACGTTCCAGGTGATGCCTGACCTCAGTAAGAACATATCCAATTTCGACGGAGGCGAGGACGCAGCAGCAGCGCGAGACTGGATGGAGAACCTAAAGAGGACGGCGACTCTTCATAAGTGGCCGACAGCTTTCCTCCTGGAAACGGCAAAATCACATCTCACAGGAGCTGCCAAAGACTGGTTACGCTCACGCCATGCAGAAATTGCGTCGTGGGAAGATCTAGAGTACCAGTTTCGACGAACACTCGTTAGCCAGACCCGAGCAGCGGAACGCTGGAGAAGAATGCAACACCGCGTCCAGCAGCAAAACGAGAGCACGATTGCCTACTTCCATTCGAAGATTCGTCTTTGTGGAGAGGAAAACCTCGACTTCTGCGATACTCGCGAGCAAGTACTCACCGGCTTGCGTTCGCGACAACTGTGCACCATGTTAATGGGGAGAACACACGAGGACGGTGATGACCTCCTACACGACATACAGGAATTCGAAAGGATCGATCGGGAGCGACAAGAGCGCTTCGGTGGACAGCGTGAAAAAGGGGCTGCTACCGGCACACAGCGAAACCGAGACCCGGGTATGACGTCTGTCAAGAAAACCATTGACGAGAGAAACAACAAGGATAAGAGATCACCAATACACAACGAAAAGGGTGAGCGTAAGTGCTACAACTGCTCACGGTTCGGTCACATTGCCTGTGACTGTCCAGAGCCAAAGCGCCCACTAAAGTGCCTGAGCTGTGGAAAAACCGGGCACACTCAGCGTCACTGCATCGAAAGAGCTCCAAGGAGTGAGACCAACGCCGTAAGCAACTCAAAAGAGAGGAGTTTCTCTGAAGTGCTCCTTAAGCAAGTCACATGGAATGGCGACAAAAAGCTCATTGGAATGATTGACACCGGAAGTTCCGGATGCCTCTTGCGCGCGTCTGCGGCGGCGCGTTGCGGTGCTGAGCTGATGAGAGACGCAACACCTCTTTATGGATTCGGTAACCAGGACGTCCCAGCAGTAAGGACAATTGGTAAATGCAAAGCAGATTTGGATATTGACGGTGTTACCGGGAAGAACATCACAATTTTGTTGTACCAGACGAGGCTGAGTCGGTCGACCTGCTCGTTGGTCGAACTTTCACCGAGCTCCCGTACGTGACCTATGCTAGGCTGGGCGGATGTCTACGCTTTTGGCACAAGAGTCAGTGCCCTTTCTCGCACCTCGAACCCTTGAGCGACGATCCCAAGTTGATTGTAAAGACAACCGAAAAATCCACCCTCCAGGCGAACGTAATAAATTGGATCACGCTGTTATCAGAATCTGATGTCACTGGCCCCGTCATTTTCAACAACTGTGGAAAAGAAATTCTTCTCGACATGAAAGACGGAGAGATTGCTGTTCCAGTTTTCCCAAGCGGAAATAACGATGTAGTCATTAAAAAGGGACAGCGTCTTGGACGTGTCACTGCGGTCGACATTGTAAACACACTCGAGGAGGACAACCAGAGAAACCGAGCGGAAGAGAGTTACGAAACCGAGAAACAAGGGGTTTTCACCACGGCAATTCGGAAGCCGATAGACAACAATCAGGTCGAAGTAGGTCCGTCGGTGACCGAGGTGCAAAAGAATGAGCTCCTTGACCTCCTGAACGAGTATCGGGAGTGCTTCGCTACGAACTTGAGCGAGCTTGGATGCACAAATGTCCTTGAAATGGACATCCCGGAAGTGCCGGGAAGCTCACCAGTTGCGGTTCGGCCTTACCGAACAAACGTAGCCGAAAGAGAAACGATTCGCGAGATCGTCAGCGAATGGAAACGAGAGGGAATTGTGAGCGAGACGCATTCCGCTTACGCAAGTCCCGTGATCCTTGTACAGAAGAAGAACGGAGAGAAGTGTCTAGTGGTAGACTATCGCCGATTGAACGCCCAGACCGTAAAAGAAAAATACCCCCTACCAAGCATGGATGATCAACTAGAAGGACTATCCGGAGCAGTGATGTACACAGTTCTCGACCTCGCTCACGGCTACCTTCAGGTTCTCTTGACTGATGATGCGAAGAAGAAGACAGCTTTCATCACTCCGGACGAGACCGGTCAATTTGAGAGGATGATGTTTGGACTCACGAATGCTCCGTCCGTGTTCCAGCGTCTTATGAACCACGTTTTGGGGCCGCTGAGGGGAACGATCGCTATGTGCTACCTGGATGATGTGCTGATTGCAGCAAAAAATTGGGATGACACCATCACACGGCTGCGCCAAATCCTCGAAGCCTTCAGGAAGGCGAATTTAACCCTTCGCTTAAGCAATGCGCTTTCAGAAGAGACAGTGTGGATTTTCTGGGTTTTCGACTGAAGAATGGAGCGGTGCAACCCGGCGCAGTTAAGGTGCGCGCAATCACAGAATTCCCAGTCCCAGAGAACCCTCATGATGTCAGACGATTTTTGGGACTGACGAGCTTTTTTCGACGCTTCGTCCCGAAGTATGCGTTAATCGCTGAACCCCTCACAAGGCTCACCAAGAAGAATGAAAAGTTTGGGTGGAACCCTGAGCAAGAGGAAAGTTTCCAAGTTTTGAAGTCAAAACTAACGTGTGGACCTGTACTTCAACTGTACGACCCGAATGCGGAGACGCAGTTGCATACAGACGCCTGTGCGAAGGGATTGGCAGCAATGCTCCTTCAACGGAAAGACGACGAGTGGCACATTGTCTACTGCGTAAGCAAAAGAACGACCGACGCCGAGAGCAACTATCACTCATCAAAGCTCGAGTTGATGGCTATCGTTTGGGCGGTGGATCGGCTTAGACCGCTGTTACTTGGCATCCATTTTACTATTGTGACTGACTGCCAGGCTCTGGTGTACCTTAATGCACAACGAACACAGAAGCCCCAGATTGCAAGGTGGTATGATTTGATCTAGGAGTTTGATTTTTCAATCAGGCACCGTCCCGGATCACGGATGCTTCATGTGGACTCACTTAGCCGAAGCCCAGTTGAGAAGCCGGTGGATACGATGGACTCTGTCCTTGAGGACCGCTTCGAGGTCTGCCTCACCTATGACCTTGCAGACCAAGTGCTAATGTTACAACGAGGAGATGAAGAGCTACGAGAACTGGTGGCCATACTAAAAAAGCCAGAACATTGTCGCACCGGGCACGAGAAAGGAAGAGTGAGCGGCTACGTTCTGAAGGATGATAGGCTCATGAGAGTAATCGAACACGACGGCAAGAAAAAGTACAAGTTTGTGCTGCCCAAGTGTATGCGGAAGGCTGTGGTGGTGCAGTCCCATGACTTAATGGGTCACTTCGCACTTGACAGAACAGTTGCCAAGATTCAAGAGAGCTTCTGGTTCCCGCGAATGCGGAACTACGTTCGGAAACACATTTCACAGTGCTTTGAGTGCATTTCGAACAAGATACCTGCTGGCAGACGAGAAGGTCTCCTTAATCCCGTACCACCAGGCACGCGACCATTTGAGGTGGTGCACATGGATCACATGGGTCCATCCGTGCAAAGTAAGAAGCGGACCCAATACCTGCTTGTCATCATTGACAACCTAACAAAATTTGTGAGACTCTTCGCAGCGCGCGACACATCGACCAAGCACGTACTGCGGGCTCTGCAGGAGTTTATTCTAGAAAGAGGCCTGCCGAGAACCCTAATCACAGATAGGGGCAGTTGTTTTACTTCTCGAGAATTTGAGGAGTTTTGCGGTGCACGAGGCATACACCACGTGCTTAACTCTACACGACACCCGCAAGCGAACGGTCAGGTGGAGAGGGTGAATAGGACAGTACTTCCTGTCATCACAACCTCCATGACAGACCCCCAGCAGCGCGACTGGGACGAAAAACTGAATTTAGCTGAGTGTAGGTTGAACAACTCCGTGAACAAAACATCGGGAAGGACTCCCTTCGAGATGCTACACGGATATCAACCAGACTTTCACAACACCGCATTAAAACGGCTAGTCGAAGCTGAGGGACCGGCGTGGCAAGACCCCAAGGAAATGCGGGAACGGGTGCGACAGCACCTCATTGAGGAACAGGAAAAACTGAAAACCGCATACGACCGAAGACACTTTCCTGCGCGACTGTACGATGTCGGAGAAATAGTCTTTATGAGAAAAGCTACTGAACCAACAGGCAAGCCAACGAAGGCTCAACCGAAGTACAGAGGGCCTTTGGTTGTGACACAGGTTCTTCCATCCGACACATATCGCGTCACTGAGCTTGACAAGACCAAGGCCAGTAGATTCGCAACTACGGCGTATGTTTCCCATTTGAAGGGATGGACGTCGACAACAAAGAAAACACACTTGGAAGACGACACATCATTGTCAGAAGAAGCAGAATCCACCAGGGACGAAGTCACCGTTCAGTTCCCGAGGCGCTCTGCACGTAAGCGTGCAATTCCGAAATGAGCACATTTGCAACACATATTATTTTTCGCTTGTATCGATTTTGTTGTTGTTGTTGTTTTTTTTTTGTTTTTTTTTGCATAACGTGCATTGAAGCATTTATGCGTTTCTTGTGCTGTTGTATAAGCATTGCTTTATGTTGTCGTTAACGAGAACGTTAACAATGCCAGGATGCCCGAATGTAAGCGAGCGCCATTCTGTACTGGCTCTTTTATTTTATTTCGCCGAGCGCATTCCAAGCAGGCGCCATTGTGTTTTGCCTTTTTCTTTTATTTTGCTGGGCGCAAGGTTCAGTTCTCAGAAGATTGTGATTTATTTCAACTCCTCGGCGCCGGGAATCTCGCACGTGGATGCCCGTGCCATGAAGGCGCGACTGGCTGGCGTCGGGCAGGATGCGGATCGGGTTACAGCCTTGGGCGAGACCAAGCTGCTCAAGAAAACTATGCGGCAGTCTAACAGCGGGACTCAAAGCGAGAGTGTGTGTGCGATGGTGGTACGCGACCACCAATAGCGTCCGTCTTGTAAACTAAAATTGTATCGAGAATATTAAATCCAGTGTTTCTTTAATTCCAAAAACTCATTTGTCAAGACCTCGTTTATTATCAAGAAGTTATTTTATTTGAAACAACCAACGATTACAACAGTGACTGTGGAGATTTGCAACAAACCTCTTCAGATGGAGATTGACACAGGCTCACCCGTGACTGTGATCAACCTGGAGACGTTTCAAGAAATTCTTCCAAACATCCAGTTGAAACCTTCGGGAATAACGCTGAAGCCGTACACCGGCAAGCCCATTGTTCCAGAGGGAATGGTTCAAGTGGAGATGCGGTACAACGGGTAAGTCAAGTGTCATGAAATTCAAGTGGTGAAGAATGGGGGACCTCCCATACTGGGAAGAGCATGGCTTCAGGATTTTCAAGTGAACTGGAAGGAAGTGCGCAACGTGCGTGCAGAAACCTTAACTCTCGCAGGTGTGCTACGGAAACACAGTTCCATCTTTGAAGGTCCGGGAGAACTGAAGGACTACGCCGTGAAACTCTGCGTGAATGATGATGCTCAACCAAAGTTTCTCAGACCAAGGTCAGTTCCATACGCCCTCCGACAAAAGATCGAAGAGGAGCTGGATCGTCTTGAGAAAAAGCACATAATCACTCCTGTGATGAGGAGTCAGTGGGCGACTCCAATCGTTCCAGTGATGAAGGCAAACGGACAAGTGCGCATATGCGGGGATTACAAGGTTACACTCAACCCAGCCTTGAAGCCAGATAGGTACCCACTACCGAAGACTGAAGACCTCTTTGTGAAGATTGCTCATGGGGAGAAGTTCACCAAGCTGGATTGTAAACAAGCCTACTTCCAGATCCCCTTAGCGGAAGAATCCAGAGACCTCACTGTGATCAACACACACAAAGGGCTCTATCAGGTGAACAGAGTGCCATTTGGAATAACTCCAGCATCAGCTATCTTCTAGCGCGTCATAGAAGAACTCGTTGGAAAGTTGCCGTACACAGGTGCATTTCAGGATGACATCGTGGTAACTGGCAAGAACGATCAACATCACCTGCGGAACCTGGACATCGTACTGCAAAAACTCAAGGAAAGTGGCCTTCGCTTGGGAGAAGAAAAATGCTGCTTCATGGAGGGCTCCATCGAGTACCTCGGACATGTTGTAGACAAACAAGGAATCCACCCAAATCCCAAGAAGGTGGATGCGATCCTCCACGCGAAGACGCCCAAAGACCAAAAAGAACTTAGAGCATTTCTAGGACTCCTGAATCACTACGGGAAGTTCATCAGGAACGCAGCCGACATCCCACATCCACTACATGAACTGCTGCGAAAAGATAAAAGGTGGGAGTGGTCGAGATCGTGCCAGAGAGCCTTCAACGAAGCGAAGAAGCAACTCACCAAGCAGAGTCTGCTAGTGCACTATGACCGTGCGCTTCCTCTGGAACTGCACTGTGACGCATCGAGCCATGGAATTGGTGCAGTACTTCAACACGTACTACCAAACAAGCAACGGAGGCCGATCGCCGTCATATCAAGTACGCTTTCTAAAGGTGAG